AACAAGGCAAACTGCTCGGTAACTATGTTTGCAAAGAGGATTTCACATTCGCTCCGTTCCGTCATTCACAAGCTGAAGGCCTGCCGATGCGTATTTGCTGAAGCTTTAGAGGGACGGCGGTTCCATCTTGTCTGTGAGGAACCAGTCGAATGCTGTTTCGAGAAGTGAGTTTTTATTTCTCCAACTAAGAAACTAGCCTGTAATCCACTTTAGGTTCAGGAGAACTGGTTTCCACAGGGACGGATGTGGGATATGTTTCGCCAAGGTTAGCACAGCAACTGGATACTGATACTGAATATAAATAATTCCATCTCCAAAGTTGCCAGGACTGTATATTGCAGCCTATATAGGACTATATCAGGCAGTTTATTAGTAAGCACAAGCTCGTGTCAGCCACTGTGCAGACTGTACAGATGTTGAGGCAGGAATAGAAGGTAAAAAAGAATTCGAATGAATGTCGAGTAGACACTGTATGGATAGTGTAGGAAAATAATGATTGGCACAAACAGGGATGTATCCAACAACTAGCTAAGCCAAATAGTCGTGCTTGAACTTCACACAGAAAAGACTTATGTTTGAACAGCAGAGGGAATTGTTATGTACTGAAAAAACATGTCAGGAGTGCAGTGTGTGAGATCGCAAATATAATGCAGATATAATGAGTATAAAAGATGCAGGGCTGCAGGGTGGTGCATCTGGTAGCACTGTTGCCTCGCAGCAAGAAGGTTGCCGGTTTGTGTCCCGGTGGGGACACCGGAATCTTTCTGCGTGGCGTTTGCATGTTCTCCCCGTGCAGCGTGGGTTCTCTCCGGGTTCTCCGGCTTCCTCCCACACAGTCCAAAAAACATGTTGAGGTTAATTGGTGATTCTAAATTGTCCGTAGGTGTGAATGTGAGTGTACTTGGTTGTCTGTCTCTAAGTGTAGCCCTGTGATAGACTGGCGACCTGTCCAGGGTGTCCCCTGCCTTCGCCCTAAGTCAGCTGGGATAGACTCCAGCCCCCCCGTGACCCTCGTGAGGATTAAGTGGTGTATAGATAATGGATGGATAAAAGATGCAGGAAAACTTGCTGATATACTTGCACTACAGTACTCATTGTTCCATCTCTGTTTTAGCATGTATTAAACAAGATTCAAGGTGGAACTTGGACCACTTTGGAGGGTTTGGGAAATGTTTCAGTGACACGGGCAGTTTGCTTTGTGCTGAGCTTGGCCAAAATATTCTACTTACTCTCTCTGTCCTGGACAAAAAAGTGATGAAATGAATATTGACCTTGGTGGGTAAGAAAATCCAGATTTCTCAAAATGTCACACAGCCCATCTACAATACAATCCATCCATTATTTTCTTTCAAATTGCCATTTGTAAACCAGGAAATGTCCAAAGAGCTTACTTTAGCACTATCCCTGGCAATTTTAAAATCAGCCTGTGGCTTTGCTCATCATTTGCTCCAGCTAAGTGCTACAGGCCAGAGGAGAACAGATGTGCTTGTCACCATATTATCAAGCAGAGAAGGCACAACGAGGCCGCTCGCGAGAAAAAGGAAGCTTCTGCAATATTCCGAAAGTCAAATGATTCATCCAATCCGGCCCGAGCCATTTGTCTGTGTCAGAGTTTATGCGATGCTCCCAAACACTTTGCCTAGCCCCCAACTTTCCTGTCTCCCATCCTTGAAAGCCAAATCAATCAAGCTTCCCCATGCAGGAAAGTGCCGAAATAAAGAGACAATGAAGTGGAATGAGCGAAAGCAGGATTGATAGCATTAAGAGGATTTGGGACAGCTTGTGAAGAATTTTCTGGGCTGCCGTTTTTTTGGGGTGGAGTAGCACACTCCAGTCCACACTGCTGAATAGGAGGTATGCAGATAAATGGAGTCAAAGCATTGTAATCATATATTCAGGCCCTGGGAAGCAGTCATTGGCGCTGGTCTGATGGATGATTGCCTATCTTCATTTCTACGGGCTAGAAAGACAAAGGTCCGCTGCATAACGTAATCGATCATTTTTCCCTGTGCTTTTCAGGACAAGGCGGAGGCCCCCCGACAAACCCAGAATACAGATTGTCAAATATTTCTTTTGTTAATCACGCTCAGGGGGAAGATTACTTAAAGTGACGTGTTCAATCTTTTCATAAGCGGACAGAGAAATATAATATCTGATGTGGTCATAAACAAGATTTCATGTCATCTGTTATGTGTCACTCAAAACCCCCCAAAACAAGCTGCAATATTTGATTAGATTTTTACCTTTGATCAGGTCAGCTTGTGTCCCTGCATGCTGGTGAAATCTCCACTGTGTGTGACAAACAGGTTGCTGCTGCTTCATTAATTTTACATCAAAGATGATTTGAAACACAAGCAGGTCTGTTAGAAGCACGTATCCAACAATGTCAGGTTCTGCTCATCCAAGCAGAAGAAAAAGGGGGGGAGAGGAGGGGCCCAAGTTGAAGGGCGAGCTCTTTTTTATTCAAAGTCACAAAGACCCGTGGCAGATTACAAAATCCGAGTGCTTTCTTGGCCAGCTTCGCCAGTGGTCACGGCAGTCCTTGAACACCATTTGATAGACTTGGACATCTGGACCAATGTCAAAGAGTACTTGGCAAAGCAGATTCTTTATTGTCCAGAGGTGAGAAGGGACATTTCTGGCTGTTGTTCAGGCATTTAATTTCTACGAGAAACACAAGCATCTGTTGTCAAGTTCATTTTTCAAATTGGTAGAACCTGATTAGCACTTTACAGAGAGCCAGTGCAGTGGAAGCTCCGTGGGGGAAGCAGGGATGCTCTGTCAGGCTTTTGAGATTTCGGCCAAGATTTGTTTCAGTAATGTTAATGATTACTTTGATGCTAATCAGAAAGAAGGAAAAAAAAAAGAGAATCTGACTTTGAAGTCGAAGGTGGGCAAGAAATAGAATCATTTCACACCGTTTTCTTCGCTTTCTGCACAATCTGGGCTTCTGACAAAACAAAGCGGAGGTAGCCTCAGTCTGTCTCTCTCTCTGCACTAATCGACTTTTATCTGCGGGACTTTTGCCTTTGATCTCAAACAGTTAGCAGCAGACTGCTCCTCGACGTGAGCTTCTGACAAAAGGGGTGAAGCATATGGCCACACAGTGGGATTCTGGGTAATTTAGCCCCCTTCACAACGATTGCTCTGCATGTGAATGAAGCCTTGACAGAAGAGGTGAGGAAACTGGGCTGAACTCGAACTTGTGTTATTCTAACACGGCGTCACTGACGAACAGTGTGGCCTCTGACAAAGCCAGCTGAGTCCTACAACACTGTCAACATCTGTAAATCATTCCAAGCTTGCCCCTCATTACCCCACACCTTTAACATCTGGGTGATGGAAGTGTTTTTATAATGTTAATATAGTCACTATTTATGACTTGCTGAACAAATTCTTTCTTGAGTTATTTACAAATGTCGATCCCCAAAAGTTTATGGTTATAAAGTTGTAAGATACTCCCTTAGCTGGTCCATGCATGTTCTATTTAGTAAGAAAATCTGTTATAAATGTTGGGAATTGATTGATTATTGCTTATTATGCTGAAAAATTAAAGTAGGTTCAGATACTCTGCTGCTCATTTCTGGAATATAAGTGGCCTCATTACATCAATTGATGCCTTAAAAACAGTTAAGGGTTGCCAGATCCTTTAAAGTCCATTTGTGATAAATAGTGGCAACCACCTAATAAATGGCCAAAGAGTTTCTATGCAACTGTTCTAGATGATGAATGTGGTCTAACCAGTAAATGCTTGAGTCTGAAAAATGTATTTGACAGGTGTTTATTCCTATATTTGTGAATAGCGCAGGTTTAACTGTTGGTAATGCATTAATTCATGTTAAATAAGGTGTTAATAAATGGACATTTGTTGAGAACCTTTACTGATCTATCAGTCAGGTAGTGAAACAGTCCCTCAGCTGTGTTTATGCTCATTATTAAGTAATAATTCCTGTTAGAAAACTCTTTCCTCCTAATGAATGCTTAATATGGTGTTAATAAATAATTGATTTGATTTGATTCATATTCTTTACAGCCCTTTTGTAGAAGTTAAGTGATGAGGTCCGATCCAGTTCTCTGGTTTATAGATTAGTAATAAACTTTGAACAGTTTTGCATTACGAGGTTGTGACAAATCTTTGTATATTTCCTAAGGCATGTATAAATGTTGAATGTAAGAAATATCTAATAGAGTGTAAATACATTTGTTGGGTTGCCATATGAGCCACTCAGAGTTTTGGTTGCAAGATGGTATCAATCAGTCCTAAACTAATAGAATTCTACTTATAGCTTATTGTACTAAACGGACTTCATCTCCATGTGTTTGCCATAAGAAAAGGGCTCAAACAAACCAATGAATTAATGCTTAAATGCTTAAATGCTTATTAAGTCAATAATAACTACAATGCTATGAAGAAACTGTTTGACTGGTGTTTGTGTTTTATGAAAAGTAATAACTGCTTATTAAGTGTTAATAAACAGCCATTCTCCAGAAGTTTTCATGTCATACAGTCCAATCAGTTAAGGGAATTTTTCCAAACCTGGCAACTCGAAAGTTGCTCTTTAGGATATGATTTAAAACTGACCTATAAAGTTTAACTAAATGATTTATGAACCCTTAATTAATTCATTAGTTACAGCTGATAAACATGTCATGATGAATTGCTTTAGGAAGGACTTAAGAGCAAACAAAGTCAAACTGGTAGTTAAATTGGAATAAACCTAATTTTACACTTCTACACACTGTACACTAAATGAACATTGTTCTGTTCCTGTGGGCCACCTCATTACATTATGAAAGCACTTCCAAGATGGTTTGATGTCATGCACTGTTCAACACTGCCCACTAGCTTTATGCACATTGACAAAGAACAGTGATAGTGTACTTTAGTCATTAGACAACATGACATACAAGCAGTTTGTGGACTTCAGCTCGGCATTCAACACCATCATCCCTGAAGTCCAGCACAGCAACTCACCCAGCTTATTCCACAGAATCTAGTGTGTTTCCACCTGGTTTCAAACCAAGGACCTTTTGCATGTAAAGCAAACGTGATGACCACTACACGACGGAAACTCTTTCTAACACCCTAGACATGGGTAGAGACAACGTCAAATTACCAAATTACCAAAAATAAATAAATCTGCAATTGGTACTATGGTAAATTATTTAAAATCATAATAGTGACAAATGGACCGGTCAAGGGTGTCCCCTGCCTTCACCCTGAGTCAGCTGGGATAGACTCCGGCCCCCCCGCGACCCTTGTGAGGATTAAGCGGTGTATAGATAATGGATGGATGGATAATGACAAATGTAAAAACGGTGGAACAATGTGCCCACTTGTAGAATCAGTGGCCAGGAAACCAGCTAGATGTGGTTTCTTTAGTGTAATGGTAGGGCCCCAGTTTGAAACTGGTCAGAAACAAGATTATTAGTTCATAATAAAAGATAATATAATATTAAGACAACAAAAACAGCATGACCATATAGTTGCTTTGTTCTAACCCTCCGATACGATCCAAAGGAGTCTACTGGCAGCACATGATTTACCACAGATACTGGTAAATCACTTTTTTAAAAAAGTGGGTGTCTTACAGAGTTTCTGTGTCTCGATTTAGACGCAAAAACTGTCAGTTAGGATCAGGAAAAGATCATTAAGGTTAGAGGACTTTCATGGCTAGAATGGAGTGATACGGTCATGAACGCTGAAGAAACACCACTGACTATCAGTTTGAAAGAGAAATGAACAGTTAAGTCCATTAGTTTGTTGACCCATCCGTCCACCCCGACCTCTTCCTTTTTAACATCAACTGGCTTTTATATTCACTATGGCCACTAAAAAAAAAAGTGATGCTACCTCACACAACCGCTTGAGTTTGCAATTATAGTAAGTTGCTTGTACAAATCACCTTTGGAGTTGTTTTATGCAAGGGGTCAAACAAAGAATGCATTTTCAGACTCTTAAAATGCAATACAGGGGCATGGTCTCTCTCAATTTGCAATTCAAGATTACAAATTAACATTTTTTGTTCTCCCCCCATCTTCAAACTGGAGTTTAAACATAAGATGATATTAGAAAGTGGTATTTACAGAATGGGGGATAATGACTCCTTAATCTTTATTACTGTTCTTACACTTAAAGGGTACAGGTTCATAAACAGAAACACTAAGCAGTTACAAGGATTATGATCTCCCAGGAGCCTGTGGATGCTCAGTGGCCCGTATATGGAGCAGGTGGCCACGGTCGCACACTGAGGTAACAGCTTGACTCAGCTCTCAGGACCTGGGCAAGTGTCACCAGGTCTGGACAAGTTACAGCTTTCACAACTCAACCCCAAAGTCATCTTCCCCATTTAACCGCAGTGTCACCGGGAGACATTCTCACAAAGATGAATTCTATTTTCAAATTATGGATAAAACTTTAATGACACAAGGCCTTAAATGGCCTAATATAATTCCAATTAAAATGCATAGATTTTGATCTTTAATTGAGGATCTGAGTGAAAGGAACGGATGCTCTAAATGTTTAAATAGAGACAGCTTCTGTGAGTGGGAGGAATTCAGAAAAAAAAAAAAATTAGACTGTAGGCTTAGTACTTCTGTATCTACATTCATCAATCAGAGTATGAATCTTTAAAGCTGTGCTTTAAATTACAAAGCATGGCTGTGCAACATAAAGAGGGCATATGGAGAGCGTGCTGTAGTGTTCAGTGTCAGCAGAAATTACTCAGGTTCAGAATAGGTATAGTTTCGAGGCACTTGTACTGGACTCACTACATTATTTACATGTATTACCTACATTGCAGAGACAGACATTGTGCTTTTCACTCAACTACTTGTATCTATAGTTACTTTGGAGGAGATGTTCTCCAGCACATACGATCAGCTCATAAAATATGAAACATGTTTGTAGATGAAACGACCAGACCAACTGCAGAGGAGGAAGCAAAAAAAAAAAAAAAAAAAAGTGACCTACTTGATCTGATTTTAAGGTAGAGGCCAGCAGAGGCAAACAAATCCAACACAACAAGCAGGAAGGAAAGAAAAAGCAAAAGCAACCAAGCATCAAGGACAGATACACAACAGACTATGTAGCTGAAGGACCAAGGGCAGCTCAGCACACATCCTGAGAGGCTAATTCAGGGGAATGACGGACAGGTGTGCCAGCAGGTGAGAATCAGGCAAATGGCGGCCCAAAAGCCAGATTTACTTCATACAATCTGCTACATCATTTGGTCAAATGCAAATTCGTTAGAAATCTGCACCACTGAAAAATAAAACAACTCTGCCAGGCCCTTCATATTCCATCTTGTAGTCCCGATCTGGTAAAAGGATCCATTTTTAAGAAACCGCTTTAGTTTCCATCAGTTGCCAAGGTTGTATTACTAGTGACAGTAAAATAGCAAAGAACCCAGAGGCCTCAGACCTCAGGGGGCTCCAGAAGCACCAGCTTCATTCAATAATTTTTGCTACATAATTTGATCAATTTTATATTTATTAGAAATTTGTGCCACGGAGGAAGAAAATAATGGGTCCTGATAGTTTAGTCCATTCTCAAAATCCAGTTCCCTTCCAATTTTAGTTTGTTTTATCAAACTTACAGACAGAAAACTTTGGGACAGGGCCTTATTATTTCATCATAGAACTGTCTAGTAACGCTCCAGTCAACAATGATCTTCATTGTCACAGCATTTCACATATAATGTAAGCTGTAAAAGATTTATTTTACAGTGACAAAGGAATATCTTCTGAAGTCACAGTAGATTTATTCAGATTTTTAGATGTGTCTGATAAACAACCAAAAGCCCAAAAACAGTAAGCACGACAAATAACAGTTTTACAGATGCATTTTGAGCATTTTTTCCTTAAAGACACAGAACAATGATGAATCAGTTGTTAAAAATTTCAACTGAGTAATCAGTTAATTTACCCAATCATTTCAGCTTTTATGTAGTGGTTGGTTTCTAGGCAGCACCAGCAGATGACATTGTTGTTGGTGGCATTTTGCTTTCATCTCTCTTGATGAGCACACGGCAGCTGATATAAAAGTTAACACTCCCCATTGAGGGAACTGAACCCTGGTCTTCCACGTGGCAGGCAGAGATGCTGTCCACTATACTAACGAGGACTGCATGGACCGTTGTCTTTGTCATGTCAGTCGGTGGCTGGTACGACCACACAACTTACTTAAGGCGCATTCCCCAAATAGTTTTACCACCATTAACGCCTTGAGTCATCCCTCAGCTGGCAGTTTCACAACCGTTCACACCTCAATGCATGTGAGTCCTTGCGTGTTAATGGGCCACTGGCCGTGTGTTTTGTGGCCTGTGAACAAATACCTGGGACCCTCCATCCTCAAAGGGAGGCAGACCTGAAGAAGCCTCTCGGATGAGATGTGAAAAGTCTTCTTGGACCAACAAGGGAAGTCCAGTTACTTTCTTCTGCTGAAGCACTTGGGACAGTGTTAACTAGGTTATGGACCAGGAGGATAAATCATTTGCTGGTGGCAATTTCCAACGGGTGCATATTTCGGTAACACAGGTCCACGCTGTCATCTAAAAGCTTGCACTTAACTTCCAGAGGTACTCTTGTGCTGTTTCGATGGATGTCACTCTGGTCCCTGTGCAGGTCTTGGACTCTCTGATCAGCTTGCGATTCACCTTCTCCCAACATACAGGCAAATTAGGTGACATGGCTGCTCTCATAGAGCTTGGAGAAAACCTTTTTATTTAAGTGTTTTAATTTTGATTTTGGAGTGCCTTTTTTTGGAAAGCTGCTTTTCTGGGGGCTTTCGTCAGCAACTCTGTTTTTTTGGTGAGCTATAGGGGCGCCCCAGCAGCAAACACTTTCATTGCTGGGACTTTGCTTTTGGCCAACTCACTCAGCTGGTAGAAAAGTCAACACTCCTCATTGAGGAATCAAACCCCGGTCGTCTGCGTTACAGGCGGAGATAGTGACCACTATACTAACGAAGACTGCATGGCCACCTTATTTTGCCTTGTCAACTGGTAGCTGGCATGGTTACAGCCTTGACAAAGAGTATATGGAGATACTGTATATGGATACGCAGATGACACTTGTTGATAAAACACACAAAGAAGCTCTTGAATGGAACAGCTCAATGAAGGAGAGACTTTGCGGGTGCTATGCGATAGTAACAAGGACATACAGCTTTGCAGATAATGCTTGTTGATAAAACCAAGAAAGAAACTGTGAAATGACCAATAGCTGAACATGTTCACAATAACATGTTGGCAGATTACAGAGTGTAATGAACTGGGTCTGCACGACAACAAGGCAAACACAAAAACAGATTCAGAAACAGATTCTTCCTTAATGCTGTTATGACTGTGGCCTCTGACCCCAAATATAAATTCAAGTTATAGCACTTCATCTCAAAGCTACAGCACACTGACACAATGTAGATGTGTACATAACTTATCGATGTATGTACACACAATCTCTTAAGCATAAACATAACACACAAACACATGGCTCCAACCCATGAGCAATGTACACTGCTCCTAAGTGCAGTGCAATAAGTTGCAAACGTTTACAATTTTTTTCTATTTTTAAGGAATGCTTTTTTATCATATCTTGTTTTTATTGCACTGCCTTGTTAAACATACACTTTGCATTTCTTTGTCAGTAATATATGAGCATGTGACAATCTTGAATCTTTATGTTGCATTCCTGCATGTCATTCTTTCCCTGTGTGCACTGGTGTTGGTTTTTCATTCTCATTGAGGCAGGGCATGACTTTGTGTGTCAAAATTATTTTTTTACGCTATTCTGAGGTGTGAGAAATAATCAGCAGATGTCGTCTTGCATCATGACTGAAACCCAGACATTCAGGGCCCGGTGGGAGATCTGATCTCTTTCACCTCCACATAAAATGAGGCGCAAAATCTGGTGTGCTGCTCCAACATGGAAGTTTCAAATGCAAGAAATCAGCCACGAATTAAATGGTGGCTTTAGAAATGTTCAGAAGCAAATGCATCACAATTTTTTTTTTCCATCAACCTTTCACTTGTATCGTGGATCAGATTCCTGTGTAACATCTCACTTTATGATTC